CGTCGGTGTGCGTGCACGCTGGGGGCGCGCGTGCTTGCTGGTGGCCCCGCGGCCCGGTGCGGTGGAGCGTGCAAGCCTGGCGGGGCGCACGTGGCCGCGCCCGGGAGCTGGCAACGGCTTTCGAACCTAGCGCGGCCGCCCACGGTCTGTCGCCGTGACCCGAGTCCTGAGGCTGTTCGGGAGAAACAGTTCCGCGCAGTTTGTGCGCGGCAAGGGGCTTGCAACAGCCGGACCGCTCGCTGCGCCTCGAGGCTAGTAACGCCCCGGCAGCGGGCAAGGCCTCCTTGGCTCGGGTTTCCGCTGCACCTCTCGATCCCCTTGCCACGCGGAGCTTTGTATCTTGCCTCTCCTGAACTCCCTGCCTTCAGTCTAGACACAGTCGGATTCCCCTCCCAGGTCCTTGACTCGAAGGAATGGAGCAGAAAGGGTGTGGCCCACCAAAATGTCCCCAAAGGGTGGGTCGCTGGGCTCTGGGGTGCTGGATGCCCTCGGGAATCGGAAAGGCTTAAAATAGGGCGTTTCCCTAGGGAAATGGATATTTCAAATCCTCGTGGCCACGTGCCTGCAGTTTGACCTTGTGCCTCAGCTCCGTCTTCTCTAGAATGGGGGAATTCAAAAATACAATGCACAGAAAGCAGGCAGGCACTTAGAGCTCCTACAGGTATTGGGTTGTGCACCATTTCCCCCCACCCCCGCGTTAAGATTCTTGAAAGCCAGGAAAAAGAAGTAGCCTTGTGCTGCTGTCCTGACTTGAACGTGATTCCTGGACCCTCTGCCCTCAGGCTCTGGGGAGTCATGGTCTGATGAGGACCCCAGATGATGATATACCAGGCATGACTAGGCTGATGACCTGGGTCCAGGGAGGGACAAAGCTAGAAGTTGGGTGTGGGGATGTGGGTGTCCAAAAAGATAAGACAGGCAGGCTTTCAGCCCCAGATAGGCCTAGTTCATATGCAAACACAAAGGAGGTTATCAGTACTGCTTCTTAGAAGGGAAGCCTACTAGAGCCCGAAACCAGGGAAGCTCAGAGTGTCCTGGGAGCAGGAAGTCCTAGGATCAAGCCACAATAAGGTTGATCAGCACAAGCTGTGCTCTCCAGGCAGGCACACCCTGGAGGGGCAGGGGGAGGGGCGCTGTTTAGGAAGGGTCAGCAGGCCTACTGCTTAGGAGAGGCAAGAGGAGTGGAGACACAGGTGCCAGGCCCATCATAAGGCTTAGCCTCTGCTGTCTCCTAGCATATTCCCCAGACTCTGTCCCTGGTGTGGAGGTCCTAAAAGAAAAAGGGCATTAAGAAATCCCAGCTGGAGGGGTGAGCTCAGGAGGAAAATTAGGTAGTTGGGGAGGAAAATGGCTTTTAAAACAACAGCAACATAATTATCTGGTAGCATAGTGGTTCCGAATCAGGCTGTGAACCGCAAGGTCAGCAGTTCGAAACTACCAGCTGTTCTGTTGGAGAAAGAGGCTTTCTGCTCCCATAAAGATTTACAGCCTCGGAAACCCTGTACAGGGTCGCTATGAGTCGGAACCGACTCCACAGCACACAGCCACCACCGCCACCATAATTTATCTAGTACAAAATGTACTAATCTTCAGCATGGAATTCGATGAACCTTACATATGTCTGTTGTTGTTAATGCTGTCGAGTCAGTTACGATTCATAGCTTCCCTGTATAGGGTTTTGAGGAGTAGTTGGTTATCCTGGCATGGCACTGTAGGATAAGCACTGGACTTTAAACCACTAGGTCCGGCAGTTCAAAACCACCAGCTGCTCCTTGGAAACCCTATACAGCGTTGCTATGAGTCGGAACCTACTTGATGGCACCAAACAACAACAACACCTCATGGTTAGCAGACCAATGTTTATCCAACAGTGCCAGACCCCAGGACTTCTTACCCATCTATTGTTGTTAAGCATTATCAAGTCACTTCCAACGCAGAGTGACCCTGTATAGGATTCCCAAAGAGCGGCTGGTGGATTTGAACCACTCACCTTACAGTTGAAATGAACCTTGTGGTCCAGTGCTTATCCTACAGCATCACACACATGCCTGTTGTTAAACACCGTGGAGTCGGTTCCGACCAATAGTGATCCTGCACAGGGTTTCCGAGGCTGCAAATCTTTACGGGAGTAGAAAGCTTCATCTTTCTCCCGCAAAACAGCTGGTAGTTTCGAACTGCTGACCTTGAGGTTAGTTGGTAGTTTCGAACTGCTGACCTTGAGGCTAGTTGCGCGATTCGTAACCACTACGCTACCAGAGCCTCTTACACATATGCCGACACCTTTGTAAAACAGAGCTTTGGTACTATAATGGATTCCGATTGAGCTGTGAGCTGCAAGGTCAGTGGTTCAAAGTTATCAATCACTGAGAGGGAAAAAAGAATTGTAGCTTTCAGAAACCTTATACAGGGTTGCTATGAGTCGGAACCAACTTGATGGCACACCACCACTACCGCACCCTTATAAGGAGTTCTGGTGTGACGTTGTTGGATAAGCACTGGACTGTTAACCACAAGTTTGCAGTTCAAACCCATCAACTGCTCTCTTGTGTCTGGATGTTTTTTTGGCTAAATATACTATTTTTGCTATTCATCCATGTTGTTCATTTTCAGTTTGTTTAAATTTGTAAAATTCCAAATGCACCAAAATTTAGTTATCCATAAGAGACTAACTTTTTAAAATACATCACTTTGTATGCTTTGTTTTGTATTCATTCACTCACTCACTCACTCACTGCCATCAATTCAATTCCAACTCATAGCAACCCTGTATAAGGTTTCTGAAGCTGTAAATCTCTCCAGAAAGAGAAAGCCTCATCTTTCTCCAATAGAGCGACTGGTGGGTTTGAACTGCCAACCAGTACTTATCCTACAGCACCAAGCTTTTTTTTTTTTAAAAAAAAAAGAATTGGTCTTAAAAAAAAAATTCTTAATGAAAAAAAGTTCCAGAATGGAGAACTAATTTTAACAAGCCCTATACAGGATCGCTATGGGTCCAAATCGACTCCGTAGGCACTTAACAACAACAAAATCATGCCCACACATCATCACACAGGAGTGAATGCAGAGGCTCTCATTTTATTCAGATGTTGGGGGGAAATAGATGTGGAAAGCCTCTTCTTTGTTACAGGAGTCAGGAGCAGATGTCTTAGTTATCTGGTGCGGCTATTAAGGAAATAGCACAAGTGGATGGCTTTAACACACAGAACTTTTACTTTCTCACAGTTTAGGAAGGTAGGAGTCTGAAACCAGGTGTCAACTCTACAGGAAAGCTTTCTCTCTCTCAGAGGCTCTAGGGGAAAGCTCTTGTCTCTTCAGTTTCTGATCCTTGATGATCTCCAGGGGAAATGATATGTCTTCCCCTATCTCTGCTTTCCTAATCTTCTTCTAGACTGCTAAAGAGGTTGAAGACTGAAAACACACCATACACAAAAACTGCCTTATTAACAGAATAAAGAAACCCAATTCCCAAATGGGATTGTATCCGTAAGTATAACCCACTGACTTTGAAATGATTCCTAAAAGCACTCTGCTGCTAGCCCCAATGACTGAAGTTAAGAACCCACCAGGTACTCTGTTAGAGAAAGATGTGACAATCTGCTTCCAAAAAGCAGTTTTCCACCCTACTTTGGTGAGTAGAGACTGGGATCTTAAAAGCTCATGAGCAGCATTTTAAAATGAAACCATTTGGAAGACAGAAGAGTGATGAAAATTGAAGACACTTGAAAAGAATTAGTCCAGTGGACTAATGGACCAACGGAACCTCAGTCTCCACAACCCTCAGACCAAAAGAACTAGATGATGCCCCACTACCACAACCAACTGCTCAGAAAGGGATCACAATAGAAGGTCCTAGAAAGAGTGGGAGAAAATGTAGAAAACTCAAAATCATGAAAACGACCAGGCTTACTGGTCAGACAGGAGTTGGTTTCCTCCTGAGTCTATGGCTGCTGGTCACCGTTCAGATTTGAAACTGAACTCAGCCCTATAGCTCAGTTTTGAAGTCAAGTAATAGATAGGTATATAGGGCAACAATAACACTAGTAAGGTATATACACCATAGAATTGTCAACCTCCAAGATCAAAAGGGCAACATTTACCTAAGGACAAAATTTAGAAGGGTTGGGAAAGAAGGAAGAATAGAAGCAGGAAATACATGGAGAAAGTGGGAAAAGTGATGCTATTTTGCCTCCAAAATAAGAGCCATCATTGAAATGGAATCAAATATATGATTTGTTGAATGTAAAACTGATGATCTACTCTTAAACCTTCATTCAATTCACACTAAAAAGTTAAATCCTCTGGGGCAGTACTACTGTGTTCTCTAGGGTTATTATGAACCATAGCTATAAGGGTTAGGATTTACAACACACATGTTGGTTTGGACACAATTCAGTTCATACAGATGGTTTCTGACCTAAGCTGTGTCTTTTTCCAATGTGTTGTCTTAGACTAGTGTAGGATGAGGAGGAATACGGTTAACAGAGAGCTCGTGCTCTGCTCCTCTGTTTCCCATCTTGAACTTCTGTTTCATGTTTCATTTGAAGGGTTTTACTACTTTAAAAGGAGCTCTGGTAGTGTAGTGGTTACAAATCGGGCTGCTAATTTCAAAGATCAGCAGTTCGAAACTACTAGTGGTTCTGTGGGGAAAAGATGAGGCTTTCTGCTCCCGTAAAGATTTACAGTCTTGGTAGGGTCGTTATGAATCAGAACCGACTCCATGGTACACCACCACTACCAATTCTTTAAAAAATATTTGCAATCCACAGTTCAAGAGTAGCTATAGAGTTTAAAGCACTCCCCAAGAAATGTCTCCCCAAGAAATTGCAGAGAATGGGTATTCTAG